GATCTTTCAACACATGCATTATCGTACTGTACGTGTGACCATAACTTCCACATAACTAACCCCACTCACTTTTCTCCTGAGCTCCAAGTTAATATGCCCCTCTCTGAACTGATCTTTTCCCTATTCTCCTCTTTTGACATACATAGACCTCTGTTTTTTCCCCCGTGCCAGGAACCACACTTGGGACCTTGCACTTGCCAGGCAGGCACTTATGCTGCTGAGCTATATCCCTAGCCCTGTTTGTTTTTGAGGTAGGGTTTCTCTGTAACTCCTGCTGGCCTCAAACTCACTGGTAGATAGATAGACTGACCTCTAACCCAGTGATCCTCCTGCCTCGGCCTCCTAAAGCGCTGGAATCACAGCATGTACTACCCCCTCTTTCCCTCCGTTTTTTTATCCCTTAACTTTTTATTCTGAGCCTTAGTAAGTGGTTTCATTGCTTGCAGTTCTGCTCAGCCCACTGCCTCTTCATTTGTCAAGTACTATAGATTCTGCTTCCCAAAAATTAATCCATTCCCGTGTCTGCTGCTGATGTGCGTTCAGACCTTCACATCTCACCTCCCCTCCCCTCTGTCCCACCCTCTAGTGTGCATCATACTTTTCACTTTTTCACCTCCACAGTATTGAAGTACTTGTAGTTGGCCACACGTAAGAGGCGTTCGCTGGGCGTGGCTTCACATTGCCGGTAATCCCAGAATGCTGAGAGGCAGAAGCAGCATGAGGGCAAGTGATGTCAGTGAGATCCTGGCCCAAAATTGGAAAAAAAGAACTGTGGTTATAGCTCAGTGTGAAGGCCCGGGGTGCAATCCTGGTATTGCTTTAAAAGTAAGGTTCTGGGAATGGATCTGTAAGGAGATGGATTTTGTAAGTAAGAAGGGGGCCTAGAGATGGAGAGAAGGCAGAGGGAAAGGAAGGCAGGGGGAGTTAAGAATGAAAATGTGGGGGCCGGGGAGATGGCTCAGTAGGACAAGCGCTTGACTGGCAAATGCAAGGATCTGAGTTCAATCCCCGGTTCCGCAAAAAAAAAAAAAAAAAAGAATGAAAATGTGTTATGCTACACATACCAGCTCTCCACATGAATAAAAAAAAAAAAAAAAAAAGAATGAAAATGTGTTATGCTACACATACCAGCTCTCCACATGAATGTAATCATTGTGTGCAGCAAACATGATAATAAACGTTATTTTATGTATTTGGTACAGGGTCTCGCTGCACAGCTCAGACTCAGTGATTCTCCTGTCACAGCGTCCCCAGCACCGGGATTACAGCTGTGCGTCACCACACCCAGTTTTGGGGCTGGCACGCAGCAAGACACGCGGTACTGGGGATCAAACCCAGGTCCCTGCACTTGCCAGGCAGGCACTTAGACCGCTAAGCCATCTCCCCAGCCCACAAATGTTTATTTTTTTATTTTTATTTTTGTGGCAGAACCGGAGATTGAACTCAGGCCCTTGCTCTTGCCAGGGAAGCACTTACTCCACTGAGCCATCTCCCGGCCCCACAAATGTTACTTTAAAAAATGAATCCAGCCTGGATGTGGTGGCGCATGCTTGAATGTCAGCGCTTGAGAGACTGAGCCGGGAAGATCGCTGTCAAGGCCAGGCTAAGCTACCTAGTGAGAGCCTGTCTCAAAAAAGAAAAGAAAGAGAAAGAAAAAGAAATTGAGGGACCGGCAGATAGCTCAGCAGACTAAAGGGCCTACTTAAGCAGAGCGCGGTAGCCAGGGTTCCGGTAGCCAGTCCCGCCCCCTGCCCCGCCCCCAGGGCGCTATGAGACAGGGATTGTGACTGCATGGTGGAGCAGGGTGGCGCGCCTGCTATCCCAGCGCTTGGGAGGCTGAAAACAGGAGGATCATTACTAGTCCGATCTACATAGACCCTGTACTAAATACTTTTTTTTTAAAAAAAATGAAATCCATCTGTAAAAGGCAGTTCAAAAGGGCAAGTTCTTATGTAGGAAACAAGCGGAAAAGGCACTGCACAGCTTCCTGCCTCAGTTTGAAGAATGCAGAGAAAAAGAAAAGCCTTCCTGTGACACTGAGATTCTAGTGAGTGATGAGTGTTGTAAAGAAAATGATGAGGGCTGACCAAATAGCTCAGCGGATTAAAGCGCCTGCAAGCAGGTTTAGGGGCTGGGGGTTCGATCCCCAGGCCTGCTGTGCCGGCCCTGCCCCCCGTGCTCGCTGAGACTGCAGCTGAGACTAGGCATGGCAGTGCACACCTGTAATCCCTGCCCTCGGGAGGCTATAAACAGGAGAATCACTACGAGTCTGATCTAGTAGTGCGACCCTGAACACCCTGTAGACCCTTCCCTAAAATACAGGAAAAAAAGAGAGAGAGAAAAAAAGAAAAGAAAGCAAATTGTGAAGAAAGAGGCCTTGAACTCACTCTGTAGCCCAGGGTGCCGTGAAGGCACAGCAGCCCTCCTACCTCAACTTTACAAGTGCTGGGATTATGTGAATCATTAATAAAGTCTAGATTGGATCAAGAAAGAAACAAGCAAAAAGGAGATACGGAATTATTTTTATGTTTTTGTTTTGAGACAGTGTCTCACAGTGTACTCTCGGGGATCCTCCTGCTTCAGCTTCCTGAGTGCTGGAATTACAGGAGTACACCATTACGCCCAGCTGAGACAGAATTTTGACACTGTAAGGGCTGGGGGTGTAAGTACTTGCCAAGCCTGAACAGGCCTAGGGTTATATCCCCAGCACTTCAAAAATAAATAAATAGAATAATGTTAAAGAAATTTCTCTGAAAATGGCTTTGTTAGTACCCTGATTACTTTGTTCAAGAAAGGGTTATATTGCATTCACATGTGAAATGAACAAAGTCTTGCCTAACAGGAGTGTTACCGTGTATGTGTTTTTGTTCATCTTGGAGAAATCAAGAATAGTTGCTTGCCTGTTAGCAACTGACAGCAGCTCTTACTAATCAATGTAAAAATAACTAAATTCTGCTTAGACAAACACAGGGACTGGGTTCGATCCCCGGTGTGCTGTGCTGGCCCTGCCCCTGATCTGAGATCTGAGACAGTGATTGAGACTGGGCATGGTGGCGTGTGCCTGTAATCTTAGCGCTTGGGAGGCTGAAAAGAGGAGGATCGCTATGAGTCTGATCTAACTAAAATCTAAATTTTTGCTTAAAATTCAAATTTGCACCTGTGCCTGAAGTTTGCAGCAGAAAGGTTGATCAGTTTTCTATAAGCACCTTAAGCAATAAACTAATAATCTAATCCCTCCCAACTTTTTCATTCTAGATTTAAATATACTTATGAATATAGAATTAAGATCTCACTCAGATTGGCAGGAATAGACAAATCATGTTTTTATAGCACCATTTGGTAAGATTTTTTTTTTTTTTTTTAATGTATTTGGTTGTTGCAGGGTCTCACTATGCAGCTCAGACCCATGGTGATCCTCCTGCTGTCAGCCTCCCCAGTGCCTGGGATTATTGGTGTGAGCCACTGCACCGGGTCTTTGGCTGGCTCAGCAGCCCTGGGGTTGGGGCTGGCACTGCTGTCCCTGCACTTGCCTAAGCTTGCCTAAGTGGGCACTTTAGTCTACAGAGCTATCTCGCCAGCCCCCACTTAGTAAATTTTGCAAGAGATTGTTATGGTTTACAAAAGCATATCTAAAAAACAAAAAAGCATATCTAAAAAAGCCAAAATAATTAATTTGAAATCCATCTGTTTCTATGTTCAATAAAATTAGTTTTTTGTTTAAAAAGAATCATTTGCGCAGCGGATCTAGCTCAGTAGTAGAGCATCTGCCTCACCAGTCAGTCCCTAGCAGCACAAGAAGAAAATCCCTATGATCTGTGCTAGCGTTCGTATCCCAAAGACTGAAGCCACACAAACACAAATTCATCTCCTCCTCCACTTCTTTCTCTCTTTATTTTTCTACTTAATTATTGATTGCAGTACTGGGGATTGAATGCAGGGCCTTTGCCTTCAGCTGTATCCCCATCCTTTTTTAGTTTTTTGGGGGACGCAGGGGTTGGTTTTTTTTTAAAGGCATGGTCTCATTGTGCAGTTCAGGCTGGTTGTTGCCTTCACTATGTCGCCCAGGCTGCTCTGGAACTCAGTGATCCTCCTGCCTCAGCCTTCTGAGTCCTGGGATCACGGGTGTATGCTGCCATGCCCAGTTCCTTTTTAGCTTTTGAGATGGTCTTTTTTTTTGTTTTTGTTTTTGTTTTTTCTTAAACGTATTAGGGACTGCTGGGTCTCACTGTGCAGATCAGACTTGTAGTGATCCTCCCGTTTTCAGCCTCCCAAGCATTGATATTACAGGTGGGTGCCACCATGCCCCGACACTGTCACAATCAGCATGCCCCAGGGGCAAGACCGGCGGACGCCTGGGATCCAGACCCGTTCCTGCGCCTGTCTAAGCAGTGCTTTAGTATGCTGAGTTATTTGGCTGGCCCATTGAGATCGTCTTTAGGTGAACTCAGACTTGGAATTCTTGTGCCTCAGCCTTCCAAGTGGCATGTGCCAGTTTACAGGCATGTGCCATCTTAAACCACATTTTTCTTTGTGAAAACTTTAACTGTCTTAATCATACAGTTGAGTAGTGTTAAATATATTCATGCCATGCACCAATCTCCAGAATGTCTCTTACAAGCTGGGACTCTTTTCACATTAAACAAGTCCTCATTTTCCCCTTCTGTTATGACAAGTATTTTATTGATTTCTATGAAATTGAGCAGAGACCTTATAAGGAAATTATATAGCGTGGGTGTGTGAGACTGGCTTATTCCGTTTAGCATAATTTCTGTAGCATATGATGACTTTCTTCTCAACAAATATATTGTGCTATTTCATAGTTATCTGCTTGCTGCTGCTTTCTGCAAGCACCCTCCCCCTGCCCATCTCCCAATTGCTTCACCCTCTTATCTGCTCTTGTGGGATGACGTTTGGCTTCTCACACACACTGTAGTGATTCTATTCCTGCCTCATGTTGTAATGCTCCTCCATTAGGTAATCCATGTGTCTGTATGTCTCCCCATCAAATTCCATAGCTCTGGACCTGGGAGATGGCTCAGTGGAATATGCACTTCCCTGGCAAGCGCAAGGGCCTGAGTTCAATCCCCGGTTCCACCAAAAAAAAAATTCCATAGCTCTTTAGATAGGTACCTTGCCTTCTTTCATCTCTTTTCCTGAATGTCATAGAATTACTAAGAAAATGTAGGTAAAACAGGGAAACATATGTATTCTGGGTGTTACTGTCTATAAAGAAATGATAGACTTTTGTTTTTAATTTTTCTCTTCCTCCCCCTCCTCCC